ACGGAGAGTCAACCGGTTTGGATCAAGTACTGCGCTGGAAATTTGGCTCCTGAGAGCCACCCGTATCCTTTTGATTTGAATCATTGTTTCTGTGCTTTACATCTGACATGTGTATCTGATTTTGTAAAATGTGAAATGCCATGATTTTTCTGCTATATGATTGGTACCTCATTGAGCGCAAGCTCACCCTTTCCGTTCCTTTTGTTTTCCTTACAGGAAAATAAACTCTTTTGGTCTGGATTTGACAAATGGCTGCCAAATTGAGCTAGATGAACATATCTTTTGTATAGCTCATGTATTAAAACCCTAAGTGTACTTTTGGGGCGTTTTCTCTTTTGATTTGGCAAACCGTGTATATGTAAACTTTTGAAAAGCTTTTGTATGTCATTTTGATTTGTAAACGCCAAAGTTCAGATATGAATGTTTGTTAGCTATTTCGGTTGGGTTCTGACGGGTCGGTTACTATTCATGGCCGGCTCCGGATTTCATTTTTTATTTTGGGTTATTTTACCATTTTGATGTTTTACGCGAGTTTGTAAGTTCCGGAGTGAAGCAGATAGCTCTAATCTGATCCGTAGTCCTGGCGAGAGCTGGGCAGGCAGTCCGCTAACCCTTTGGTTCGCCTTAGGGGAAAGTGGGCTGTCACACACCTCCATTAATTGGACTAACTCCACTTTGCACCTTCAATTTATATCACTTTTTTACTTTGTACCCTAACTTCAACTTTGAACACTTTGTACTCTTTATTCTCAAGTTTGTCTCATTTAAATCAAATCATTACATTTGCAAAATTAATGAGATAAAAGATGGTAAAAACTAATAACAATGTACAATTTTGTTCTAATTACAATTTCTTAACTTTTTTTTTACCACTTTCAGTGCATTGCCATTAATTTATATGGTCACAATCATTAACATGTTGGCAAACTAAGGAGACAAATAATGATGCAAAATAATGAAAATGTACTATTTTAATTTTGCTGTGATGTCTAAGTACCTTTTGTCTAAGCATAAGATGACATGATGCATGTTTGTATTGTTGAGTGAGGTGGCAAAAAAGTTATCACGAAATAGCAAAAACAGTTTGTCAATTAATTGTACTCTCTCATAGTAGTGAAATCTTAACATCCAAATTCATTTGATTCTGGAGTCCTAAATGTTCCTCACTAATGGCGTTAGTCGCAAAAAACTGTGTGTGATAAAATCATAATATCTACTTAATCCTCCTATGATTTACATAAATATTTACTTTGTATAAATATCACTTTACCCCTTGTGATCTTTGCATTTATCCACGCAATTCCCCTATAGTTTTATACAAGGTGTTTAAATTGTCGTTTAATTTAGCATTTAAATAGGGATACTACTGGTATTTTAACCAACGATATTACATAGGTTATTTTATGTCAAGTTTTCACTTTACATGAAATCATAAATGGATGAAGTGGGCACTTTGAAACGTTAGGAGAATCATATGACAATAAACCAAACTATTGGAGGGTTGTTTATAATTTACCCTTAATTTTATCCGGCTATAAGAAGCTATTCTTTTTTTCCAACAACAATAACATTTATAAATATATAATCTATTCTATTCTGTAGGAAAAGTAGCCTAAAGAGGCTGTAGCTGTATAAAGGACTAACAGGTCTATAGACTTGACTAGACCAAAGGTGTGCTCTGACGCCTGTTTTGGATTTTTTTCACTACAGGTGGAGTTCGAACCCTAACTTAGGGTGTGTTTGATAAAACTGAAATCTGAATTCATTAAGTTATTAATTGTTAAGTATTAAATCCAATACGTTTAAGTATCTATCATATTCAGTGATAAGTAAATAGTTTATCACTTAATTTTGGGAGCAAATTTTGTTTAGAAATTCAGTGATAATTAATTAATTCATATGTTCAATTTTTTTATTATCAAACGATTTGAATATGTTAACATCTGAATCTATTAAATTTAAGTGTTGAATTGAATTCTCAAACAGAGTCTTAATCCCTTTTCGGTGCCACTAAGCCAAAGCTCAGTGGTCCTAGGAACTTATTCATAGTTGCGAAACTTGGCGAAATTAATACGAGGAAATCGGTTAAACATTGACAGCTAGCTTTAGTGATGCAGAATGGTTGTCCGGAGCACACCACGATCCATTTGATAAAGTTCTTGGAAGAAAGTATCTTTAGTTCTAGGGAAGTTTCAACTGTAACATATGCTCTGATTCAAAAGGGACATTGCAACCTCAGCCAAAACAAAACCCCACTGAAGTCGTCTTAGTTTTAGGTACCGAACACTGCCGCCGGTAGAGCCTTTCAAGCAAGAGAGAGTGGAGGCCTAGTCTTTTAATTTGTGATGTGGGCATTATCATAATGGAGTGTTAGTCTCAGAACTTGGGGATTTTTTCAATCGTCTAGGAAAACAATATAGATGACAATAGAGATTGATGATGATGGTTTAGAAATATTTCATTCAAATTGAAAAATAATTAAAAGCTTTGATGGAAAAAAGGAATAGAAGTAAGAAATGAGAAAATAAAAGAGAGAAAGCAGAACTTTTTGGAAAAATTATCATAATGCAGATATGTGTCCTCAATCACTTTGACAGAAAACCACTGAAAGAAGTATACGATATTAACATGCTGGAATTGCATTGGAGCTTCTAATTGATTCATCTAATAAAGCTGGTAATGAAAATCGTTAAATAAAACTGGTAATGAAAATCTATTTTTAGCGTGGGCACTTAACATATATACATTTCTTGTTGGGAGAAAAATTGTCATATCTATTGCTTCGAACCTTTTACAATTAATTAATAAAAAAATCATTCCAAAAGTAAAAGCATGAATTCGTACCTAACCCTAGAAGGAATACTGCCAATTAGATCGTTGGAGTTTTCTAACATATTAATGTACTAAGACAATGCAAAATTCATTAAGATTTGACAAGTTGTCTCTGGCACATCTCATTCTACACTTGAAGAGATACAATTAATTAAACAATGTCTTTAAACTCGAACCCAAAAGTTGACCAAAAACCTTTCTACAATTCAACCGATTCAACTTCAATTCAAAGGTTAATAACTTTTATTATTTTTGTATTAAAAATTTTGAAAAACCCAAAAAAAAAATGTTTTAAGAAATAAAAAAATTAATAAAAACTGGTTAAACCTCCTCATTTTTACTATTCAAACGGTTCTTAATTGAATTTAACCAATTCAATTGAATCTTTGAATTATTCATTAAATCGGACCGAATGCATGACCGGTTTTGCGATTCGACGGTCGATCTGGTTTCAAAATAAACGTTGGAGTCCAAACCTGTAAAAGAAATTATGTTTGATCAGAGTTGCTTTATTCCCCCCGGTTCTGTGACAGAATTACACTCATCCAACCAGTCAAACCAAGAGAGGGCAATATGTAACATCATCTTTTCAAAGAAAATGACAAAAACAAAAAGAAAGTAGCAAAATTTAACCAGCCATTGGGTGGTTATAGACATACGATTGCAAGAGGGCAGGAATCAATCTTATCGGCTTCCTTGTCCGGGATCTCAAGCTTAAATTCTTCCTCCAGTGCCATCACGACCTCGACAGTGTCTAAACTATCTAATCCCAAATCTTTCTGAAAATGAACATCAGGATCACCTGTATCAGGTGCAGCACAAGAAGCAGAATCAGCAACTATTTCGATTTCCATTCAACTAATCCTTTGTTGTCTGATCAAAATAAAATGATATGCTGTCAGGAAACACAATTGATGGATAATCAGGAATGGAGACAATAATGTAAGGTCCTGCAACAGATTGACTGTGTACTTTCTGAGCAACATGCATAAATACATTAACAGTCCTTATTCCAATGAATTTAAGAAACAGCATGAGATATGCATAATTTCAATTCATCATTCCAGATCAAACAGAAAACTGGTTTCCTTTATTCTTTTATATTGAAGCCTATTATTGAGAGGACTGTCATCTTGCCAGCGCAAAATCAATTTCCTCAAAACATCAACACTTCCACAATTGACGTTAAATAGATGAATTGCCAGCTGAGGAAACAGCAAATATGAAATAGACATTTCTTTTGATGAAGAAGAAAGAGTTCTGTACATCTATCATGCATTATAATTACGTCAAATTGTACTGCCCAAAAGCATTTAGTTGATAGAGTGCCGGTGTCTTAAAACTAGTTTAGAGGGCTTCAAGGAAAACAACTTTCTTCATTGGAGCCCGAATGTACACTGGTTACAAGAACAATTAAGCCAATTATGAAGGTTTTAACAATACTTTTCAATGATAGATACAAGAGGATCGACAGATAGTGGTAGATGAACTAAAGTGAAGGACATCAGCAAAACAAATGTCAGTGTTAAGACAAAGAAAAGCCCCAATATATCTGAATATTACATGCTCGTCTTTCTAGCAAGAAGGTAGCACACTACCTTATGACCAGCTTACCATGTCATCATCTCAAGCACAAAAAGTTGCCATATGACCAGCTTACCATACAGATTAAGAAGAAGAAAGAAACCAGCAGTCTCATAATTTTGTTTGTTCTCCCATATCCAAATACGTTGCTGATAGATATTCTTTTGAATTGACTCTTAATATAAAAGACAACAGATCGCTTCATAATAAAAAACCTGATGGAATGATGTTTCATAGTTGCAGTATAAAGCAACTAGCAGCACCAAGGATTAGACAGGAAGTACATCCCCAACAATAACAACAGGCAGTCCCATGCTAGAGTATGATACTCTCACCAGGAAAAGCAACCCAGCATAAAGAGCAAGGATAAGCTTGCATCAAATCACACCCAATGCACTAAAGTTGACAAGTAGAGCTGCTCATAGAAAAATATCATAACCAACAGCCATGAAACTCCTACCTCCCAAGCCCTTTCAGGGAGCCTACTGCTCTTTCTTAAAGAAGACTCAATTCAGCAACTTTCTACTCCTGTACACCTGGTTAATCTAAATGCCATTACTTAGGTGCCCACCGAGGGGGGGGTTACATTCCTGTAGTGTCATTTCAGCACAAATTGAAGTAGCAGGGCAAGAAAAACCCAAAATATATCGCTAACAACTGTCAGTGCAAGTGCATATCAAAACTCGCCTTCCCAATGCTACAAGTCCCTGCCCATGCTTGATTCAGATTTTCTACAATTATCGCTAAAGTAGGAGCCTTTTTTTTTCTGATATTTCAATAAACATCTTCAAAAAATTAGCTCCAAGAGTATAGGCCAAAATGTTATCCCAATACAGATTTTGACGACATGCTATTTAGCAGCAAGCAAATGCGGATCAAACCACGTGAAGATTCTAGTGAAGAGAAATTTTTTCTGAAGATGATAGTTAAGATTGTACTTCAATTAATGATAAAGCAGCTCAAAATCAAAGTTTCAAGAATCCCAATTCAAAGCCCACAATACTACTCTCATTATCCCAAGTTGAAATTTCTAACTTATTATACTACTGCAAATCTATCCAAAGGAGCAACCAGCTCGGTGTCTGAGTCTGTACCGGCCTGTCCTTGTTTCATTTCATTAGCAAAGAACACCTCAATGCCTAGTTTCTGAACTTGCTATATGTAAAAACTTCAAACCTCACAATTAATTGCTTCGACAAACTTTTTCGCCATTCTCAAGCCGCCGTACGAAGCACCACTCAAATAACAGAAATTCTTGCATAGACTAAACCTGATAAGGCCCATATGTAGGCATAAACTGTATACATTCCAGAACAATTCAACACCTGCAAATAGCCATCTACGAATGAGAAGTATACATCTCCCAAACCCACCTTCCTCTATCCTATTCCAGCTCCCAGATACCCAAAAACAATGAAAAAAAAGAAGTTTTTTTTTTTGGGCAAAATTAAATCCCTTAAATTTGTCAACCACCACAAACAGATGTTTACAAAACAGTTACTAGATTAAACAAAGTCAAACCGGAACATCTTAATAGCCAATAAAATAAATCATTGCACGTTTTATGCCTGTTACCACTAATTCAGGAGAAACTTAAAAGCATCAAAGGAAGATGGAAATTGAAGAAAAAACGAGAGGACAAAGACCTTGGCAGGGTCAACTTTTGGGAAGCTCTTGACAACGTCGAGGACTCTAGCAGTGACTTCTTCCTTGTCGAGGTGATCGTCGTGCGACGACATAAATCGGACGGAACCGAGTTTAGTAGATCCATTTAGGGTTAGGGTTTGGGAAACTGGGATTCTGATGCGACGAAGAATGCTGGATCTCAATGCCGATGATGCCATTTCTGGAAGTGATTTTTCTTCCTCTGCTTTTCTCTCACTCACTGACACAGCGGACTCTCGTTGCTGACTGCGGGGAATTTTGAGCTCAGGCGAGGGTGATGGGGAGACGAGGACCAATTGGGAATTTCAGGCTATGAAGAACTTTTATTGCATCTTACTACATTTTCGAGATAATATTTTTACTTTGTACCCACACAAGTTTTAATTCCTTTTTTTTTTTTACTGATCCACAAACTGTGGTTTTTTTTTTTCTTTTTATGTTTAATGTCACATCTCTCAAATACAAGGCTGAATGGAAGAAATACAAGGACTCGAAGGAATAAAAGACTGGAATAAGTATTTGAAGAGAACGTTTTGAAGGGAAACCCAAATATATATATATATATATATATATATATATATATATATATATATATATGTATATATTAGGGGAGAAGAACGTATGAAATTTGAGACTCAATACATGCAATTAAAAGTGTCAATACACATAAAAGAAAATCGAGTCCAGTGACTTCAATTTTGAGACTAGACCCGTCATTCGTTGAACTTTTGTAAGGTCATATCTGTTAGTGATTTCAATTTAAACTATAAAATCTAGTTAGTTTAATAAAATCGAACTGTTAAATCGTCTCAACTTAATGGTGAGTTCATGCATCGATAACTATGTAGCTTTTTCTCTAGACGAGGATAACGATCTAGCAACGAGATTGGTTCAAGAACTTTTTAAACCACCAAACATGCCACAACCAAGTTGGTAATGTAGCTAGTCACAAATTAGAATGCGTTGTTTTTCTATGGCTTAGGAGAACAAGCAATGCAGTTAGTCATACACTGGCAAGTTTACGTTTACTTGCCAGTGTATGATGTAATTTGGAAGGGAGACTTTCCTTGGCCGACTAGTGCAGCCAAGGTGATTAGCAATAGCTATTAAATGTTACTTCTTTCGTCTCAAAAAGTTTGACGCTTTTTGAAATTGGAGTTTTTTTTTTTAATTATCAACGATTGATGAAAAGGAAAGAAATTTGCTCAATTTTTCATATTTGTCTTTTTCAATTAGTGGCTAGAATTAAAAAGTTTTACAAGGAGACAGTAAGGTTCTTCTACTCCCTTGCACGCACGCACGCATGACTACACATGCCATTACATATGCACATACAAAGAGTTGTCCATATTTGAAACTCAAGATTCTCTCTTTAACTTGATAAACGACTCATCATATTTAGTACGTGGGACTTACAGTAATTACATATCACAAGTGACAAACATTTTGGAACAACTCAAAAAGGAAAGTGTAACAGTTTCAACAAGATTAGCGAACAAACTAGAAGTGAGATGAAAAGCAAATCTCAGCCAGTTCTTGGGCTCTTTTGACTTTTGCATGCAGCCTAGCCGAGTAATGGCTGGCGTAATGCACTGCTAGTGCCTGCTTGCCAACTTGCTGAAGTATGCAATGCTATGTAGAATCTCAGGTTGGAAACATATCGAATTCGACATGTCACTCTTCACGATTGTGGCCTGAACAAATTGTAGTCGGGCACTGGTTCTCTAACGAGAACAATATTTATAATTTTCCTTTCTCCATTTTAGTGGATAGATGTTTGTGATGTATAGGTACATAAAAATGTGTAAACGATAAGAAAATGATGCTATTATTTGTAAAACCAGGACCTAAGAGCACTAATGCAGTGTAAGGATATGACAAAATTACTTGACGTAACCCCCCCCCCCCCCCTCCATTTTAACTCTCTACGCATATCTGCAAAAATCAATCCCTTAAACATTTCTACCCTATGAAACAATCACAATAAGTTTTCAACCATCATTTTCAGGCAACAACCAACTGAAGTACATGCCTGTTTGTAATCAAAAAAGATTACAAGCCAGTTTTTATATCCATCCACAAAACCAGTATTTTCGCTCAAATACTGTACAGCAAGTTCTACCAGTTAACCGCTGCTGAAGCATGCAGACAAATCATGGTGAAATACAAAATCAGAAAGCAAAGGGCCTAATCCAGGGAGGATTTTGACAGTTTTTTCTACATGTGAAAGCCAGTTTGTCAATCAGCCATGTCAACCACAATGCACAGGAAAGGACAAAGTTAGGAGGAAGTTGAATTTTCAGCAGACGCAGCCCTATACAGCAACCAGTCAATTCAATGTTTATGATTCATTTGATTCGGATCTTCAAACAGGCACTCGTTTAGGTCTCCACGTTCAAAGAACTGCAGATATTAAATAAAAAAAAAGTGTCCTTAGCCCTCAGTCCAGGAAAATACGAGTTCAAGAGAACATACATTCTGAGAACCAGACTTCGTTTGTTACTCTGATCTCAAAATTGACTTCAGATAGTATAACACTGTGAGAAAATTCAAACGCAAGAGTATGGCACCATAAAAATTTGGTCAAATGAACCTCACTCTTAGTCTATTAATGACAAACTGATACATAGAAGATAATGCATGAAGATATAACTTTTCTGGCATATGAGGCACGTAATAAGCTTGGAAAAACATTCATGGAAAAGCATATGCTTTGCAACCCGGTCTTACTGGGTTGAAACACAAACAATTTTTAAGTTGCTAAACATACCGATGTCACAAATGGTTGACTGAAGAACCAACCAACAATTGGTAACCTCTGCAGGAAAATAGCAAGGGTAGGCCAGAAACCACTGCAAATTAAGATTTTCAAATTATTAATTATTAATCAACTTCCCCAGCACCCAAACTAAAGATTGAGGTGAGCTAACATGCATCGTATATCACTGATACCTGAAGAGCACAAAAAAACCATAAGTCTCCACGATCATTCCAATCATAGGCCACCCAATCATAACAAAGAAGAAGCCAACACCAAATGAGATTGAACCCTGTTTGCATGTAGAGTATCAGTACTATGACCAGGAATACTAAGAATGAGATGGGGAGAGAATGAGAGAGGAAAAAGGATGTAACCTTGAAATTTTGGCTCTTTGTGAAAAATAATAGGGTGGATTTAACTCCAATGGTCAAGGTCAATCCTAACAAGAAGAGTATCTGAACATCAGAGAAAAGTGGGCACCATTAGAAAAGCTGCAGGTAGAGGTAGACAAGTTCTTAATGCAGTATCAACATGATAAAGAAGTTTGAAAGGGGAGATTTTCTTACATTTCCAATTGCAATAAGTCCCTTGTCAAAGAAGTACAATACTCCAGCAGCAGTGAACACCACTCCAAACCCAGTCAATCCTATTCCAATTTCTGTTCCATTGGTGTAAACATAAGAAATATTGCAAAATAGGTTAAAAGTAATCAGTGACAGAAGAAAAGTAGCATGAAAACATGATCTGAGAAGAATTGCAAATTAAACTTTCTGCCCATCAAAAGTTATTCTGATTAATGCAAACTGATTACACTTCAATAATATGATCCAGATCAAAAAATTTGTTCCAGAACCAACAAAAGGAAAGAGCTTTATCAGAATATAAACCAACAAAAGTACTGCAGTAGCATAAAGAAAATGCCAATAAACTCCTCCAGAGGCTTCAGAGTTTAAGTCATTAATTTTTAAAAGTCATGATTATCATTGAAGATGGTAACAATCAATGTTATGAAAACCAACATAAAACCAATCTGCATTAACAGAATGTACAACCTTCATCAAATAATTCAGTTAGATATCTATGTTTATGATTCGAAATAAAAATGCCACATAACCAAGGAGCTCTTCCTCTAAATCCTGTATTTGCTATTAAGACAAATTCCCCAAACCATATATGTTATGTTTTCTAGTCAGTCTGCCACCTCTATCTTTGTCTCTGCGGTCTCTTCCCCCACCCCCCCCCAACCCTCTTGATTAGCAAACAAGTTATATTGAATAGCTCACTAGCT